TTCAGTCTCACAGGCTTTTGAACCCAGAACTAAAAACCAAATAAAAGAATCTCTATAACTGGCCCAGACAAGGTCCACAGGTCTTCGGGGCCAAAACCTTAAAATAAGGGGTATGGATGCCACCAAGGCACACCTGCTGCAGTGAGTGACAGCCGTCCAAGGTCACCTCCTGGCTAACAATCATGAGTGGAGAATATGTTCACTCCAAGAAAAGAGACAGCACCTTCCTACCTATGATCTAGATGTTAATATGCTAATGTGCCACCTTACTACAATTCACTGCCTCACCTAATTCTTACCACAATCTAATAGACATGTGTTACTCTTATTATCCCATTCTATAGAATTGGAAAGGTCAAATAACCTACCCAAGGTCACTCAGGTGTGATAAAGCTCCACCTGAACACTAGCTTCGGACTCCAAAACATGAGCTTTGTTCACCACACGACATGGCCCTCTGTGTGCAAAATTCAAGGAATCTGCCTACCATGCAACTTCTTCCTGACAATCAGCATGCACAGAACTCAGGGGGTCCTGTCCTGACCTTCTTAGCCTGGACAGCAACAATAGGACTCACCTTTGCTGTGTGCTTCACCCCCAAACCATCTCTGCTGAGCAACATGAGAGGCAGAAACAGACCAAGATGTGGCTGAGACAAACCTAGGGCCCTCCGGATGTTTGAAACCTGCTGGAACAGTGGCTAAGAAACAGCCTGGTCATGACTTGGAGAATCTAATGTCCATGGCCACATGAAAGCTGGAGTATTGTGTGTGACGTGTTGCCACTGTCATGTCCTGGCCTCAGATAACCCACCACAGGAGACAGATCATGGCCTTCTAAGTGACTCTTGTCAATGTGTACAACACCACATGCAACCAGACATGGGCAGCTGTCCCGAGGATTAGCAGTGACCAATTTGTGTAGACTCTCTGGGCCAGACTTCTTCTTTTTCTTTGCCAGTCTCCTAGGTAAGCCCATGAGTCCCTGTCCCACACATCCCAAAACCCTGTGTCCACCAAAACCAGGTGAGGCTTCCTGAAATCTGGCTTTGGTCATGTCAATGGCCTAGAAACAAGGCTTGTACTGGGTATGGTGGCACACACCTGTAATTCTAGCACTGAGGAGACTGAAGCAGGAGGACTGCTGAGTTTGAGGCCAGCTTGGGCTACATAGTGAGTTCATGACTTGAACTACATACCAAGACCCTATCTTAAAAAAAAAAAGTTGCAATGGCTCCCTGGTACTCTTATTCTCTGTGGCAGCTCAGAGGCTGTATGTCCTGATCCCTATACGGTGTGACAAGCTCATGTCCCTAGCAGCACTGATCCTGTGCCCAAGTCAATGCACACATTCTTTCTCCAAGACATAATCTGGCCCTGGCATCTCCAGCCCTGCTCCACTAGGGCCAGTCCCAGGAGAGAAGGGACCTCACCTGTCCCCCGTGCCATTTTTAGCACAGGACTTGGAACCAGGCCTGGCACTTAGCAGGTGCTCAGTGATGCTTCCGATTAAATGAATTAATTAGGCCATTTCCTCTGACTGAAAAACTCTAACCATATCTTTAGTTCTCAGACTCCTGCTGGCTCACTAGACACTGCAGCCCTCTGGACATGGCACCAAAACTCTTTGACACACATCCCATTGAGAGAAACCATCTCCATCTCTTCTCTGTGAATCACAGCTCCCAGATGGTTGGCTAACAAAATAGGATGGAGGTAATAACAAAATGATTTTTCAAATGTCCCCACCAGATTTTTTAACATTCCTGCTCTTGGGTGGCACCTATTTTCCTCTCTTGAATGTGGGCTGAACTTGGTGACTTCAAGTTGCTAAAGCAGAAGTGACCATGTGTGGTGCTAGAGGTTATGTCTTAAGAGGCCCCGTGGCTTCTGTCTTGCTTGCCTTTTCTCTGAGCACTTGCTCTGAGGCAGTCAGGTGCTGTGTTGGGAAGAGCCCCAGCACAGCATGCATGGCAAGGAACTAAGGCCTGTGTAACAGACATTGGATGACTTAGGACAGCTCAATGCAGCCCGGACTGTGCATGAGGCATCCCCACACTGCAGCTTGATGGACGGGATCCTGAGCCGAAACCACCCAGCCAAGAGGCTCTGGGTTCCTGACCTGAGAGACTGTGAAGAGCTAATAAATATCTGCTGCTTCAAGCTACGATGTTCTTGGGGTGATTTGTTGTGCATTAATAGAGATATGTGCCAGTTTTTTTTAGCATAGGCCTTAAGGAATAAGAAGTTTCCACTTCCTGCCTCTTGGGATATTCTGGGAACTCAGCAGCCACGACATAAGGAAGCCAAGCTGGCTGCAGAAGGGCCACACAAGAGCAGCCAGCCACCAGACCCCCTGTCAGTCACATGTGTGCAACATCTTGGAAACAGATTCTTCAGCCCTCGTTTAGCCAGCCCCTCTGGCCTGCCAAGCCCTGGCCAAGCTGCAGGTGCATGGGCAAAGGAGAGGGCTGTTGACATTTTAAGTCATTAAGTCTTGAGGTGGTTTATTACAAAGCAACAGACAATGAAAACAGATCTCGGCATCTGGCTGTGGGGTGCTGCTATAACAAAACTCTAAGATGGAAGCAGTAACGCTGGGACCAGGGAGCAGATGGAAGCCTAACTAATGAGTTTCAGGAACTCTGCCAGCAAAATTCAGCAGAGGCTGTTGGTTTGGACAGAGCTCTTGAGCTGGACCCAATAGGCCAACCAAAATGGAGTGACTCGCCCTGAAAGTCCACAGCACAAAGATGAAACTCAATTGTTCATCTGACCTTCTAAGAAATTAGAAGAGGAAAAATAGCCAGATCCCCAAACAATTTAGTGTTAGCCAGCATGATAAAGAAGGCCTATCTGGCTAAAAGGAAAATAAGAAAAATCTGATTCAAAGCTGGAGGAAAGAGGATCCTTGTAATGTAATGGCAAAAAGTCACTCAGTTGGGCCGGGGATTTAGCTCAGTGGTTCCGCCACCTGCCTTGTAAACGTAAGGTCCCAAGTTCAATCCCCAGTACCAAAAAAAAAAAAAGTCACTCAGTTATCATCAGGGGTGGAGAAAAATATTCTAATAAATTCAATCACGCTGTGAAGGCGATTTCTAGGCTGATGACAGAAGTGCCTGCTGGCTTCTTGCCACTGCCTGTGAGAGATGCAAGAGGAGAGATGAATGAAAAGATAAACTGTTAACTATAATACAAGCTAGGACTCACTGGGTTTGAAAATAAAACTATTTCTATTTCCACCTCTGCAGATGGCAAATGATTATTAAATTCAGGCCATCAGTAGAATCCAGGATGGGTCTATAAATCTGACATGGTCACTTGCAGAAACTTTTGGACAGACAAAAACCGCACTAAGGTTCTGCAGGACACCCCTAAACCATGAAATAGGACCTGGAAATCCCAAGGGCGCTGTCCTCAGTGATCCCATAGGAACCCCAAAGCACAGAAAGGTTCTCTTGGTCTCATCCCTGTGGCCTTTGTCTAACAGTGCAAGGATCTGCCAAGCTGAGGGCCCTGAAGTAGGGAATTACAGAGATGGCATCAAACATTAAAGATGCAAAAGAAAGAAACACCCGGTCACCAGCACAACCCCCAGGACAGCAGGAGAGGCCCGCCTGCCAGAGAGCACATGGAGAAACAGAGGGAAGGCGAGAACTCAACTCCATTAGAGTTATGGTCTCCTGCACCCAGTTAGGCCTCACCGATTTTCTCAGCTGGCCAAAGAGCTAAAACAAAACTCAGGCCCATCTGCAACAAGACATCTGAAGAATTTTCCCTGGGATTCTGAAGAGATTATTCCAGGTGGAGCAAGGGATATTTCTGCTGCCTGCATTACGCCTCTCTTCCCTTGGGCTTCATGAAGGCTCATCCGCCTGTATTCCTGGGGAAAATATATTGATTAAGGAAGACAAAAACCCTAACTCAGAAGCTAGATTGTATTCAATCTTCTTTTTTCCTCACGGCAAATGGAGTCATAATTCCAAGTAAGTGACATGTGGAGCTGTTGAAACCCAAGCGCTGTGCTCGCACCGTGATGTTCTGCGGGTTGTAAACAGCACACGAGGCTGCGCCAGGGACCAATTTGCTCCTTAGCTGCCAACATCAGTGTTTAATGATCTGAAGAGCAGAAGCTGCCAATTATTGTATTCCTTCTTATCACATCATTTAAAACCCATACGTGCAATTATTATACCTTTCTGCTAAAATTTTATGAGTCCTCTGAAGCTGATGGCCTGTGGGTTCATTCAACCTATAAATCTCCAAGAACTCTTTGAGGCTGTCACTCCACAACTGGGTTAAAAATCCATGGATCACACTGGATCACACATGGATCACACTCGGGAGCCAGGGACTCCAGCCCCTGAGCTGCCACCACTTGGGTAACGAGCAGATGTAACCAAAAGACACGTCCCACAGCCTCACTGTCTCCATCTACCCAATGGGACCACAGTCTCTCCCCCACCTACCTCATTCAGCTATTATGAAAATCACATAAAACAACAAATACAGAGGCATGTTGAAAAGCACCATTCAAATGAAAAACTAAGGTACTGTTTTCAAAGACTTGTGTTTTCAAGCTACAAATTAATGGGAAAATACATTCCTTAATAACTGCCCAGCTATAATGTCCTCAGAAGTCCCCATGTTGTACGGCTGAACATCAGGTACACATCAGTGTGTCTCACATTATACTTCATCGGTGTGTCTGGCCACATCAGTCACCCGCACTGAGCATTCTCGGAGCACAGTGCTGTAGAGTCCTGACTAAACAGTAGCACATCTACTCACTAAACCCTGGAGAGGTGGGACCGCAGAGGTTCTGTCCAGTACTCACTGTCCCTCTACAAAGAAAGTGGACCACCCCATCCCTGGGCTGTACAGAAGCCCCCAAAAAGCTGGAACTGTCTGAGCATGACGTAAGTAATGGCAGAATATGAATGGAAGGCAAAGCCAGGTGGTGAGTTGGTGGTTGTCACTATTTAGTCCATCACCAGTTACCTGATATGGCAAGCATTTTGGCTTCAAGCAATGCCAGTAGCTGGGTCTCAAGGTCACTGACTCTCCTCCTCAGGGTGCTGCAGAGTCTCTCACCCATGCACACCTGCGGGGAGAAACATCCAGGAGTCAACCCTGACTGTTGAAATCAGAAGGCAATGGAGCACAGGACAGAGACTCGGGGCTGATGAGTGATTAAGAAGGATGCTTAAGGACAGCATACATTATATGTGCACACCCATGTTTATAGCAGTGCAATTCACAATGACTAAGTTCTAGAAACAGCCTAGATACCCATGAATAGATGAATGGATAAGGAAAATGTGGTGTATATACACTAAAGAATATTATTCAGTCAGAAAGGAGAATGAAATCCTGTCATTTGCAGGAAAGTGCATAGAACTTGAGATCATCATGCTAAGCAATACAACCCAGACTCAGAAAGCTAAACATTGCATGGTTTCTCTTACACTATGAGAAACCTAATATGTTATTTTTAAAATGATTAAAATAAAGGAGAGATGATAGGAAACGAGAAGGCAGACTCTTAAGGATGGGGAAGGGGATCAGGGGAAGGGAAAGGTAAGGGGGGGGAGGTAAAGAGACTGAAAATGAATAAGTTGTGTTAGATGCATGTACCAACTCCCCAAAATGAACATCACTGTTCTGTATTGCAAACATGGATTCGTTAGAAAGGAGGTGTGACAGAGTGTTGGGAGGGACAGTTTAGCAAGCAACCCATGAGCAAAGAAGGAAGGTAGGTAAAAAGAAGACCTGGAGGGAGGAAAAGAAGGAAGGAAATAAGGGAGAGAGGAAGGAAGCAGGAGGAGGGAAGGAGGAAAAGCAACACTGGTGTACCCCAACACGCCCTTGTACCCTCTCAGCACAAGGCAACACAAACTGAGAGGACTCGCACAACAGAGAGCAACCCCAAGCTGCGGTAATTTGGTGGCCTCCACCTTCTGCTTCCCTGAGCCTTTGCTTTCTACTCCTTGTCAGAGGGAAGCACCGCTCCCTCACTCACACCTCGGGACTGTCTGCTCAGCTGTCCCTTGGGAAGAAAGGCCTTGCCAATCACAGCCCCAAATAGCAGGCCCCTCCCTGCCTCACCCTCACCTTCCTACCCTAACCCTAGGCTAACACGCTGTTTGCTGTTTTTTGTTTTCATTCCTCTGTTTTTACATTGTCTCTCTCTGCTGGGACACGGGCTCTACGTAAGCAGGGACTTTATTCTGGCCCTGACACACAGCAAGTCGTTAAGGTATGGCCTTTGAGATCAAGGTCAGAGCAGTGGCTAAATTTAATTACTAGAAGATGTTCTCTAGGGAAACTCTGAGGGCAGATACCTGCTGGCAAGTCAGATTTGAAAAATAGACCAGCAACCCTCAGACAGGTTTGTGGGTTTTATCGTTTATTTTCCCATGACATTCCAAATATTTCCTACAGTTTTCTTTGCATTTTAAAAATAACAAAAATCTTAAACTGTTATCTTTTGTTCCAAATGCCTTTATCTTTTATTTTATTTAAGGCTAAAACATCACAATTTTTAAATTTTGTTTAAGGCTAAAACTATGTATTTATCTGTTACATACACTCAGGCTAATGAGCTATATAGAAATATTTTCAGTTCAACAAAAGCATAGTTTTAGTAGGAATAAAAATGTCTATGGAGATATATTTTGAGGTGGTCCATAAAGGATGTTACCTAGAAGAATTATTCTTCTCACCAAAAATTTGAAATTCTATTCAAAAACTAAAATTAACCCATTTGGATTCAAGAGGCCCAAAGAAAATATAAAATTTAATTTCCCCAGAGCAATCCATGGCTTGCAGAATACCAGCAGCTTAAATGTTTTGCTTATCAGAGACTGAAGAGAGGTTATTTTTAGAATCAAAGCCAACCTCACCCAATCCTGCCTGGAATGCTCCGCTGCTTCTCTTGTGGACCTGCATGTGTTCTTTTCCACTCCACATCTCTAGGGAACACTCTTTAGACAAAGACACATTTTGGTGGCCCCTAAACCGCACCCCGCACAGCAGGGCAGTTCATGTGTATCCACATGTCCAGAGTGATGATTTCGGAGACCTTTCCGATGGTCCTGAGACCTGTCAGGATGTCAGAATCAAGAGTAAAGAGGGAGGTGTCCCAGACACCTTCCCCCCAGCAGTCCTGGGTCCACACTGTGCTTGATGACTGATGTTTCCCATCCCGTCCATCTCAAGCTATCATCCAACGTCTGAAGACCTTTCTGTTCATTCTTTAGCAACAGCCAGAAGCCTTAGGTCTCATTCAACCTATGTCTAAAGTTTCTGATTTTAGTTAACAGAATCTGTTTATCATAATTGGGTCAGTTTCTCCTTTGTTGAGCAAATCAATCCTTCAAGCTGTCATTATTAATAGGAAACAACCTTCCTAAATTTTCTTGTTAAATTGCAATGCACATTTTTTTCAGCTCTGCTGGATGTAATCTAATGTCTACTATTTCTTCCATCTCACTTATAACTTAACTACCTTCGGTTTGGGTAAGCCATGATAGTTGGAGAAATGTACCAAGTGCAAGGAGGATACCCTCTCTCTCAGAAAACACCAGGTGTGTGTCTGTGTGTGTCTGTACGTATGTGTGAGATAAGTGCTCACACTGGTGAGTCCTGTTCAGAGCAGAGTGCGTAAGTAGGCAGTTTTTCTTTGTTCTCTGTGGGCTCACTTATGCCCTCTACATTCCTGTGTGGGCACGAGTACATGCCCACTATACGCACATATTTCCTCCTATTTACAAATAAAATTAGACCCTGAGGATCTCATTATCAAATGGAGATTTTACACTGACATTTTAAAATCTATGACACCAGCTCCTTATTTTTGTGGAAAAGCAAAGTAATTATGTTTGTTTTAAGTGTATTAGAGACGGGATGTGCGATGATTTGTTATGGCTTGTGTTTAGATGTCCCCCTCAAAGCTTCATGTTTCTCTAGGTGGCTGAATCTAGAGTGTGTGATTGATTCATGGTGGGGCTAGGCCCCAGGACACTGGGATTAAGGGTGTGAGTGCTACTCGCCCTAAGTAGTCTGAATAAGATAAAAGGAGCAGAAAAATGCTCCTAAGGTCCCCTTGCTGCTTCTGCTGTCTTCCTCGGCTGTTAACTTGTTTCTCCTCTGCCAAGCCACCCTGCCTTGGAGCCAGCCAATTATGGACTGAAACCTCTACAAACTGTAAGCCAAATAAATCTTCCCTCCTTTAACTTTGGGTGTCACGTATTTTGTCTCAGCAATGAGAGAAAAGTAACTAGCATATGATTTGAATATTTGTGTTCCCCAAAAATTAGTATGTTGAAATATTTAGTCCCAGTGAGATGGGATGAGAGGTGAAACATTTGGAGGTGATGAGTCAGAAGGCCGCTGCCTCATCATGGATCAGTGTCCTGACCAAAGGCCCCAGAGAGCTCTGCCCCTCCACCATGTGAGAATGCAGCGAGAAGTCAGCCATCCATGACCCAGAAGAGGCCCCCTCTCTGGCACCCAACTATCCTTCAGGCTGACCTCACACTTCCAGCCTCCAGAGATGTGAGAAATGAATCCCTGATGTGGATTAGCCACCGATCTGTGGTGGGATTCATACAGCAGACAAGCAGACTAAGACAGCACGCAGACAGAGCAAACCACTTTTATATTTGGGCGAACCTAAGGTGTTAAGAGGAGATAGCGGGGTCACTGTGCGGACCTCACTCTGCTCCTGTCCTCGGATGAGCATGCGCAGGAAGCTGTCAGGAACATGGGGCAAGTTCCAAGCCCTCCTGGGTGCCTGGCCCTGGCATCATCTTATAAACACCACTGGTTCCTGTCAGGAAGCTTTTCTTTACACAAGTATAACCCACCAATCCTGCTGCTATGTGGCCACCAGATGTTGTCTTGAAATGAGGTAGACAGAAAGGGGCCGAGGAAAGGGCCAGAGTGATTGTGGACATTTCTGCCAACAACACACCCCAATTACAGCTTAGCTGTGGCAATTGAAAGACCCTTGGCACAATTCCTCATCCAGGGTCCAAGGCTTTCTTTACCTGGCCATGAGAAAAAAAGGATATTTGCCTCTTGCCAGTGGGCTTTATGCTCAGCAACCTGTTCTTTCTGTGTCTTGACCAACTCAGAACCTCTCCCTCCTTCTGCCTTCTCCCTCCTGGTGCCTATGATGAAGAATTCAGGCCCAGCTCTCTGCCACAGAACCTGGCAATAACTCACAGAGTGACTGACCCTACCGCCCAGCCCATCAACAGCTCAGGCAGATATGACTAGAGTGGATGGGCTTTTGATTTGTAAACCATGGTTATCCTAACCAGCCAGGACATGGACTCTTCAATCAAAGTGACAGTGTTCTCAGGGAGTGCTGAAGGATTGTTCACTACACACTCCAAGGTCTTGCTAGAGAAGTATAAATGGTGGTTACAATAAACAAAATGATTCTCAAGCCAAATGAAATCTTTTTCAAAACCCCAAAACATTTATCTCCTATACCATTTTCATTTGTGAGGGGCCTGAACAATGCCCTTGTGGGAGGAAAAGTAATTAATTTCTCATATTATTCCTTTTCTGGTGGCACTTCTAAGCAAAGGCATCAGCAGACCTGAATAGCAGCCCCTGCTTCTGAATAGCAGCCTCTTCTGAGGCCAAGGCCAGACTGGTCCATGCTGGGCAATCACAGGCCAAGACCTCCTCTCAGACAGCAGCACCTTCCCCCAGGCTCTTTGGCCCATCATATGGCCCATGAAATGGGAAAATCTCCCTTTCTTCCAAAGCCCAAGTAGCCTGTCATCTGGGCATTAACTTCATAGACTTCTTTGGAAAACTGGACTACAAAGGTACTTACCTTGGTGGAGATCTCTTGAAGTGACAAGTTCAGGACTTTTATTCTTTCCCGGAGGCTAGAAGAATTAAGAAGAGGACATTGGTCTTTTTGTTAACCACAGGTGGATACCTGCACATACAGGACAGTGCATTCAGTGACCCTTCCATCGCCCAGGAGTAGGAGAAGAGCACTAGGGAAGGCGATGTGTTCCCAGTAACAAGCTTCACGTAGGCTGGTGTTAAAATCTGTCATCCTTCCCAGAGTACACATCTACTGATACTGAGAAGATCAACCCAGGGGTCCTCCCGGCAGCAAAAGATTCAGGTCTGCATTCCTATAGCTACCCTGGAAGGATGGTTTATACAGGGAAGCAGATATCTATGTGGGTACACCATCAATCCAGCAGACATGTACCAAGTGCCTTCTGCATTTAGCTTCACCAAGAACACGTCGGAGATCCATATGTGTCTGACATGGCACCTCTTGCTCTCTGGGCTTTGCTCTGCTTCTTTTCTCTTCAGTACTTCTGCCTTCACATATTTATTTATTCATGCACTTTCTGCCCCTTCCTCTCCATTGGAATACAAGTCCCACTCAGGCAGTGATCTGCAGTGTGTACCCCCCGCAGCCCCTTTTCTGGAAACGGTTCCTGGAGCTTGTTAGTGCTCGGCCCTATCTGTAGTATGCACGGGTCAATAAAACCAAGACTTACATCTTATTCTCAAGGCTGTTTCTTAGTGCAGAAGAAACACATGCAGGCAACCAACCAACCATCATATAAAGCAAGATGAAAAAAATTACTCCAAGGAGAAGAGAAACCCAATGCTAGGAGGACTCTGCTAAATAAAAGCTTCCTTGGGGAAAATATAGATGATAGAGACAAGAACTTAGGAGCAGTTTAGAAATGAAAGGACAAGAAGGAAAGCTTACTGGAAGACACAGAAAGTGGGCCAGGCTTCAATGAAGAAAGGAGGGAGAAAGAGACTGCAGGAGATGAATCTAAGGAGTCCAAATGGTTCACACAGGTGAGCTGTGAGACAGAAAGTTAAATAGGGGGCAGATTGCTTGTGAGACAGTGGAAGGAAAAGAAGGAAGGAAGGGGGTGAGGGGCTGCCATGTCTGGGCTATTTATTTATGGAAAGAGGACCAACGTAACTATGCTTAGAATATTTACAAGGAAAGTAATTTTTAAAGCATGTCAGAATAGGCTCTTCTCAGTATTACCTATAAGATTAAGGAGATTCGAGCTTTCTCCCTCAGGCAATAGAAAATCATTCTGATTTCAAGCAGGAGAACAATATGAAAGAGATATTTTGGGGATTTTGGAAAAGCAATTAGGCACCACCATGAGGAACAATTTGGAGAAAGAAAATCCAAATGTGACGAACCAGGCAGCACCCCATCAGGAAACCAGTTGTCATGGGGTACAGGAGCCCACAGAGTGCTAGAGATGGGGAAGGAAGGAAGGAAGGAAGGAAGGAAGGAAGGAAGGAAGAAAGGAAGGAAGGGGGGCCCAGGAAGGGAGGCTGTAGAGCAATGACAGCTGCTGGTCTACAGCCTCTTGTTGCTTCAAGTATTCATGATCATTGTTCTTCCTACATCTGAGGGGCTGCTGCCATCAGGAACTCAGAGCACAAAGACACAGCTGCTGCCCTCAACCACTCACTGCTGCTGAGAGTGAGACGCAGTGTTCTACATGGCATGATCAAAACCAAAATACAAGAATGTTTAAATATTTTTAAATATATTGTAGTGAAAGACATTGCCCTCACTTCAAACACACATTCTCATCGTTCTTCCCACTTTCCGAAGCAGTTCTGTTACTCCTCTTTCATGAGTGTCTTCAGTTGCGCCATCATGGCTGCCTTGATGTCCCGAATTGATCCAAAATGTTAACCTTTCATGGACATTGTAACTTTGAGGAAGAGCCAAAAATTGCATGGTGCCAGAGCCAGTGAATAAGGTGAATGAGGACACACCATCATGGTTTTATGAGTCTGAGTTTCTGTTGTGTAGCACTTGGCAGTAGCATTCATTGTATTTTTTAAAATCCCATTTTATGAAGATACTCACAAAAGAGGACTTCCATAACTGCTTCAGAAACTGGCAAGAACCCTGGGATAAGTGTGTTTGAAGCAGGGGGGGGGGTGTTCTGAGGGAGAGCAATGTGCCTTTTACTGTAATAAATTTTTCTAACATTCATTGTATATTTTGATTACCCCTTATAGGTATAGGAAGGGGAGGTGGTTTGATAAACAGTGGTCTGCCAAAGGGGAAGGTGGAGGTTTCATGGTGCATGTGAGAGAGGGAGGTACCATGCACCCATAACAGGGTTGCAAAATACAAAAAAGAGTTAAGCTGCAAATCTGTTGGATTTTGTTGTTCTTCTCTGAATGTGAGAACTGTTCTGAGATGTTATCACCTCCACCGATTTTGATTTCTGCATATAAGCAAACTCTCCTGGCTTGCAAAGAGCTGGGAACCAGTTCAGGGTTCAGGCATGCTGGTCAATCCCCCTGGAGACCTGCTTTCAAAAGAGGAGGGTAAGGCCCGGGATTTAGCTCAGTGGTTCTGCCGCCTGCCTCACAAATGCAACGACTGGAGTTCAATCCCCGGTACCAAAAAAACAAAACAAAACAAAAAACAAAAGAGGAGGGTCTTCTGGTCCACCTGAAATTGACCCTAATGGAGGAGCTAAGCATGGCCAAGGGGCAGGGGATGTGGCACAAAATTCTTCTGAATTTTGGAATCACAATCTGACAACCCTGAGTGTGCCAATGGGGACCATGGAAAACAATGTTTGGAACTCTGGCTGGTGAATTCTAGACCTGGCAGGGTGGAGATTGGGTCTTCTGAGAGCAGATAAGCATTGAGTTCACATGGAAAGGAAAGCAAGTCAAGCCACCTGGGCTGTCAGGAAGAGAAGGACCGCACGTGTCAGAACCAGGCCTGGAGGAGATATGCCTCTGTTGAGGCTGCGCTGCCTGGTGGTTGACACTGCTTTCTAAACCCATCGCCTCCTTGGGCAGAAATGCATTCTCCTTCCCTTGCCAGGCTCACAGGAGCCCATCGACTAATACCTTTTTTTTTTTTTGGTACTGGGGACTGAACTCGGGTCCTTGCGCTTGTGAGGCAGGCAGCAGAACCACTGAGCTAAATCCCCGGCCCAATTAATACATTCTTAATAAACAGCTTACCACATAATTAAACCTGCATGAGCATTTAATAGCATATTATAAATAAGAATTCCCAAACATGCACAAATACTAATTCATGCATTGACAATTAAGATAGAGTAGGTTTTCCTTCTGATACTAAAATTTAACTGGTCCAAATGGCAGTGCCTTTAGCTAATGCCCAACACACAAAATAAAATCAGCCCAAACATCATCTTTCTAGGGGCAGATTATAGTTCAGAGCTGGCCCTATCCGAGAATGAAAATTAGTCTCCTCTCAAATATCCATGTGAGAGGAAGGAGGCAGTGATGCAGATAATTGAATGCATTGTTTTATATTTGATTTGATTTATATTTAATTTATTTAACTTACGCTATATTACTTTTTGCAGTAGATTTACCTTCCTAATTATGTTTTGCTCGGGCTAATATTAACATTAGTTGCATCCCTGGGGTATGCACAGAATGAAAGCCACGGGGCGGGGAGGTAAAGGCATACGAATAATCTATGTCCTGTGCTAGTGGTTTCCTACCTATTTTTAGTAGTAGAACTTTCTCAAGCAAAGTGTTACACAGAACTGTGATATATACTGTAGATAACAAGGAATTAGTTCTGGTAAGAGAAGGGTGTCTGCACTGGTGTACAGTTGATGCCACACTAACCCTGCATACATCCAATGCGGCTGCTATCACACTGTGGCCCACAAATCATTCTTTCAGGAGCAGGAAAACAAATTGAAAGCCACCAAATCAGACCAATTAAATACTGATAAATAAGTCATACTTCAGTGATTAAAACTAGTCCCCATGTCTCACTAAGATTACGGATTGCTCTTGACAAATACTCCTCAGATCAAATTCTGCTATATCCTGGAAGCATGTACATTGTCCACCCAGGTTAGCAGCTATGCTCTGACAGACCTAATTTACGGAAATGAGTACCTTCGTTCATAGAAGCTGCCCTAGGAATAATAGAGCCAAACATTTATTGGATGCTTACTGTGTACCAGGTACTCTTTTATATTCTTTACCCGATGGGCATTTTAAATCCTTATTTTGTCTCTCTGAAATAGGAGCTATAATTATCCACATTTCCAGAGAAGCAAATGCAAAGAGACTTACATAAGCTACCCAGGGTTACCCAGCTGGGGGACTAGGAAGGTGGAATGGTAACCAGGCAGTCTAGCTCTCTGCTCTTCTGACCAGTAGCACACAACTTCTCCCAGAAGTGTGAGCTGCTATGAAATGTGCTATATTTGTCCAGATTAACTTCTGGAATTCTCTTCTGAAATCCTGTTCCTTTCACAATACAACTGATATTTCCTTCTTTAACATATTCTTCTCTCATCAAAAACGGGTTCAAATCACATGGCCAAAACTCATCTCAATAAATGAAACTTTAGAACAGTTGAGACAACAGATGAGAATGTGCTAGAAAGAGCTCACATCCTCAGCTCACACTCACGGGCCTGGGGCAGCCCCGGGACAAGGAGTGATAGACGGATACGGGCTGACCTGTGTCGCTAACCTAGTACCTCAGAGTATGATTGTAACTGAATATTGGGCCAGTAAAGGAGTAATTAAGTTAAAGTGAGGCCATTAGATTGGGCACTAACTCAACCTGACTGGCATCACTGTAAGAGGGGAAATGCAGGCACAGATACACCAAGAGGGGTGGCCATATAAGGACACAGCCTGCAAGCCAAGGACAGAGGAACCAATTCTACCCACACCTTGATCTTGGACTTCCAGCCTCTAGACTGTGAACTCATAAAGCTCCACAGTGTAAGCTGCCCAGCCCTTGTACTCTGTTACTGCCCCGGGAAACTAATGCATGTAGGTTTTCAAATTTCCAATAATCAGATTAATTGTGTGTGTTATTAAGAGCCTGCATATGGTG